GGTGCTGATGCTGTTAATCGTAATCATGTATATGGAAGTCTAACTTTTTAACTATTGTATTATCATTTTATTGCCTATTCTTCTGTATGCATTACACATCCTTGGAGATGAGTGAATGAAACAATTTAAGTTAAAATTAAATAAAGATGTAGTGGAAACCGTCTAGGATGGAGTATTAAAAAAAAAAAGAACTGAAGCAGTTTCAATTCTGGTTTAGCAGAACGTGGTGGACATTGGGAATAATATCCGATGTATAATGAAAAAGAAAGAAAGGCTTCTTAGACGAGAAGGGCATGGGAAAAAGAAGACATGGAGAATTGTGTTTCGGATATTAATGCAAGGTCAGGCTAGCTGTTTACTGAGAAGTACCCTTAGATGTGCCTTTACTCTCATACCCATTTTTTCACTCTTACATTCATGGAATAGCTACCTAGGGAATGCAAATCATAAAATGCATTCTCTGATCTCACATACTTAAGTCTGTGTTTCAAGATCTGAAATCAAACTGAAATGCAAGCTGTGAGCGATCCTTTCTCCCAAGATGGCCCCACCTCCAATTCCATACATCTTTCATGGGGAAAACCATGTTTGAGTCTATGGGACTGCTTTATGATAGGATTAGAAAGTCTGCTTTCATGTTTCGCCTGGGATACGGTTTGCGCTGAAGGAGACAGTTGTAAGTTCAAAGGGACCATAGTTAGCACAGGGAAGAGAGGATAAGAACTATGGGGGAGCAATTTAAAGGATGAAAATCTATGTGAGAAAAACTCTTCACCTCTTCCCTTCCTAATGTGACAAGGCTGCTGTGTTTAATGGTGACCTCCATGGAGCTCCTCCGAGTATAAAGAAAACCCTGGAACTTAGCAAATACAGCACACACATAGTGACTCGAAACTGCCTGTAATTCGAATTCCAGAGACTCCAACTCATTCTGACCTCTGGTAGCTCCTGCAGGCACATGGTCAACATACATACTACTCAAACACATATTGTACTGGTTACGGTTACTATTGCTGTGATGAAATTCCATGATCAAAAGCAACTCGAGGAGGGAAGGGTTTATTTGGCTTATACTTCACATCATAGTCTTATCATTGAAGGAAGTCAGGACAGGAACTCAAGCAGGACTGGAACCTGGAGGCAGGAGCTGATGCAGAGGCTGTGGAGGGGTGCAGCTTTGCTTACTGGTTTGTTCATTCTGGTTTTTGTTTTGTTTTGTTTGTTTTTTTTAAATAGAACCCAAGACCACCAGGCTGGGGATGGCACCACCCACAATGGGCTAGACCCTCTCCCATCAATCATTAGTTAAGAAAATACCCTACAGCTGGATCTTATGGGGGCATTTTCTCAATTGAGATTCCTTCCTTACAGATGACTCTAGCTTGTGTCAAGTGGCATAAAACTAGTCAGCACACATATACATGCACATAAAATAGATAACTATTTAAAAAGAACTGTACTTCAGCTCTGCATTTCCTGTATTGGGATCCTAGATTCATCATTTACCTACTTATGTGATATTAAGCAAATGACAAATTCCCTGGCCACTCAAAACATTTGAGGTTTTCTTCCTCAGAAACTATACTATGGGGATAAGGATAATATATGCCTTATAAGTTTGTCGAATTAAATAAATTTAATAAATTATGTGTTACAATATGAAAAAGCTGATGAGTGTGTTGCTATGACTGTCATTACTACAGTTGCTACTCTTGTTATCATTGTGTTAGCCACAGAAAATAGGTTCAAAATTTACCCAGGGGCTTGAAATCCTCACTAAAAGTATCATCTAGGTCATTCTAAGTAGATGCCAAATAGATTTAGCTCATGTACACACAAACTAGCTAAGAATGACTAGTGAGATAGAAGTATGAATATGAATTCTCTTCTCAGAGTGTGTGACTGTCTACACTGTGGAAAGCATTGGCCAAGACAGAAGAATCTGACGGGCATCTATTGAGGGAATGTGTATGAGTGTGAGAAGATATACAATAGGACATCATTGGGGTACAATGGAGTGTCTAGGAAGATATGTGGAAATTGATTAAGTACATGATTAAGTTTCAGACCTGGAACCCACATACATGAAAATGATCCTAGGAAACTCCCTTGTCTTTGATCTATGTCCATTCCTGGGTTTCACTTACTAGTGTCCATTTGTAGTTTTGTGGGGCATTCAGGATGCATGGACATATATCTTTAAATCTGCCACTCTTATTACAAGGGAGTATGTATGGGTCAATTAATTATCTTCATGTTCTCCTTCATCTTTCCCATCTTCTCTACTCTGTATCCTCCTCCTCTTAGTTCGTTCTTTAATAACCTTAATTATATTTCTATTGCCTGTCTCATGGCATTATTTTTTTCATACCACATGTCTCAAATTTCCTCCTCTGTGTACATTTTAACTTAGAAAAGTAGAGTTCCCAAGGACAGAAAGGTAGTGGTGGGGATTCAGAGGGGAAGACAGAAAGGGAGTTGGAAATGGAAGCAGAGCCTGTCCTAGGTAATAGTTTGAGAAAGGAAGGGAGGAGAAGGAGAATCTGTCCTGTTCTTAAAGCATGAGGGAGGGAGGAGAAGTCAAGACTATCCTGGTAATAGCTTGAAGGAGGGAGAAGGGCATCCGCCATAAACTTGCAGGAGCAGCCGCCCTACCAAATGGAAGGCCACACTGGGGAAGGAGTCAGGCTCTCTCCAGTGGACACAGGTGAAGCTCTGTGGATTGCTCTTCAAGGACAAAATATTATTAGAGTACTTTCAGAAGAATAAAGGTAGGAACAGACCCGAGAGACTTGGAAACCAGATTCCTTCAGTACAGACATGAATTACTAAAGAACCAAATTGGGTTAATCGCAGTGTGCTGGCAAAATGTCAGCAAAGACATTGACAGGGCTTGTGGCCAAATAGAAATGGGATAAAATAGGAGGAGTGGACATACTAGGACTCTGCACAGTGTGCTGCTGTCCTGGTTGTTTGTGGGCACCAGGAAGGGCGAGGAAGGAACAAGCTTCTCCCTAACCAACTCTTGACTCTGTATCCTTTAGATATTCTGTGAAGTGGGTAAAAAGTTAATGCTGGTATTTAACAGCTAAAGGCATCTGGCTGATATAATTTTACTTAGAGAAGCTCTTCTTCTCTGTGAGGGAAGATTTTCTTTTTTTCACAGGCAGAGTCTCATGTAGCCAAGACTGCCCTTGAATTAGTGACGTAGACCACCACCGTATCAGTTCCCAGAGCAGCCATATTACATGACAACACATAGGGCGGCTTAACGTAATAGGATTTTATTTTCTCACTTTGCCTCTACCTCGTGAGTGCTGGGATTTCAGAAATGTACCACCATATGCAACTTCAAATTTAAGGCTTCTGTTAACTAGTGACAAACTACATACAGATAATCGCTGCACTTTTTCAGCAGAGACTTGCGTTTATTAGATACCTGGGACAGAGGTCTTCCCATCCATGGCTGTGAAAGTCAAAGCACACAGGCCAAGAACTTTTCCAGTGGTCCAGAGAGATATGTAAAAATATATGCCATTTCCATTATTACTCAGGGTTAGCATTAGCCTTAACATTAGCTGCAACATAGAAGAACTGTGCAATCACCGTGAATAAACACTCAGTCTGGTGGCTGCAATATCCAACAATAGGTTATGCTTCTTCGTCTACTTTGTGAGAATTCCATATTATTCACAAACAGAAGTGAATGATTTGCTCTTAACCAAACAAGTATAAGTGCAAATGTGTGGTATGTGCACACGACTGAACACTAGTGGAAGATTATAAAGCAGCATTGAGTTGGCGCTTCCAGTGAAGAAGCAAAGGGTGCTTGGAAGCTGACATATACAGGTACACCTTCCTCACCTATGTCTTGGGTTCAAGGAAGAATCTGCCATAGTTTCATAATTTGCTACTTTCTGCTTCTGGTTGTCTGGGACAGGTATTCAGCCACAGAGAACTTTCACGTTCCTCTTATTCAGCTTGTGACACTGACCTAAGCTGCAGATCCTTGACTGTTCAGCATGATGTTCTAAATGCTCCAAACTGAGGTTAGTAAGATCAGCGAGGAAGTGAAGATAGATGGGAGGAGTGTGAGAGCAGAGCAGTCTGCACCACTGCACCAGTTCTCAGAGACTTCCACAGCAAATGATTACAATTAGAGTGGCTTAAAATAATGCTATTTTATTTCCTCAAAATCCTAGAGCAGTGGTTCTTAAGCTGTGGGTCATGACTCCTATGGGGGTCAAATGACCCTTTCATAGGGGTTGCGTATCAAATGCCCTGCATATCAGATATTTGCATTATAATTCATAACAGTAGCAACTTTGCAGTTATGAAGTAGAAGTGAAATAATTTTATGGTTGGGGTCACCACAACATGAGGAACTCTATTAAAGGGCTGTAGCATTAAGAAGGTTGAGAACCGCTGTTCTAGAGGGTTAGAATTGTAGTGCCCAGACTAGAGCAGTGCTGATTCCTTCTGAAGTTTCAGAGGTAGAATTTGTTCCATGCCTCTCTTATAACTTCTGGGTTTTGCCAGCAATCCTTGATATTCCTCAGTCTACAGACACATCTCAACATTCTTTATCTCCATCTTCTGATAGAAATCTACCTTATGTTTCAAGCTCCCAATTTCCAAGTTCCAAATCCAGCATGATTCCTGTTAACTAGGTATCACCTCCAGACCCTACTTCCAAAATAAGTTACATTTATAGATAACAGAGTGTTAAGAATTCAAACTACCGTCTTTGGGAGACACAATTCCACCATCATCCCTCCTTTCTGTGCTGTTTTCTTCTGTGGGTGAATAGAATCTTACTTTCTCTAAGTTTGACCATGAGGATGGACTAAATGCGTGTCTACTGAGCCTCGAGTTATTTCAATGTCAGTCTTATCACATGGTAAGGTCATTTCCACTGCTGGTGGAATAAATACCTTGCTTGGGTTTTGATTACTTAGCCATTCTTCACCAAACTGAATCTTTGCTCTTTTTCTCTGCAGAAACCAACAGAACCATGGCGACTCCTTCTGCTGCCTTTGAGGCCCTTATGACTGGAGTGACGAGCTGGGATGTTCCTGAGGATGCTGTCCCATGTGAACTGCTTCTTATTGGAGAGGCTTCATTTCCTGTTATGGTGAATGACATGGGCCAGGTCCTCATTGCTGCCTCTTCCTATGGCAGAGGTCGCATGGTGGTAGTAGCTCATGAGGACTACTTGGTGGAAAGTCAGCTCTTTGTCTTTCTTGTCAATGCTGTGGGATGGCTTCGTTCCTCCTCTGAGTCTGCCATTGGTGTACACTCATCCTTAGCACCATTGGTGAAAATCCTTGAGAGTTGTGGAATAGACTCAACGATTGAACCTGAAGTGAATGACTCCCTGGGAGTTTACTGCATTGATGCCTACAATGAAAGCATGACTGATAAGCTGGTCCAGTTTGTGAAACGTGGAGGGGGCTTGCTCATAGGAGGCCAAGCCTGGGATTGGGCTAACCAGGGCGAAGATGAAAGAGTTCTGTTCACATTTCCTGGGAATCTGGTGACCAGTGTGGCTGGTGTGTATTTCACTGAAAATAAGGGGGACACAAGTTTCTATAAAGTTTCTAAGAAGATGCCTAAGATCCCCGTCTTAGTTAGGTGAGTATCTTACCGTAGTGGGAAGTTGGCCTCATATTAAAATGCAGACATGATTCCATCTTCAGTTTCCTTCCAGACCAATAGAAAAGAATTTGAAACTCAGACATGTATTTGCCACAGTCCATTAGATTTCGTTTTAATACTCTGAGGCTCAGGATGGACAAAGGTCTCGTTGACACTGCCTCCCCACACCAATCCATCTAGCTCTTTGAGGAGAAGAATTCCTATTGAGTCTGATATTCCTCAGCACTTAGCTTAATAAAAATACTGTTGAGCACAAAAATTGACATGATTTGTGCAGGAAGATTCATAGGAGATTTCCTTACTATGAAGACAAAAATATTAGAAAAAGAAAATCATAGAACAACCCCATGGGCCAAAGTCTGGAGGGCTGTGAAGTATTCTGAAATGTTTACATGGCGTTAGGATGGAAACAGGAAGTTGTTGGTTTGGAAGTTGATTTGAAAAGAGACAGTACAGTTATACATACTAGGCTTTCAAAGAGGACTTTTATCCCTGGGGTCAAATGATCATCTGAGAATGGAGAAGACGATACTGGTACAGAGGCAATCTTCACTGAAGGTTCTTGAGAGTATATCCCAGTTGGTTTTATGCACAAACAGCATTGTATATGCAACAGATTAATAAGCTCTCAGCACACATTCATTAGATGTGTAATTAGATTGAGGAATGAGGGGTATTCCAAGCTGCAGTTCTCTCAAAAGCAGAAAATGTACACTAGGTCACTTTTCATTATACATAAAATCCTTAGCTTTCTCAGAACAAATAACACTGTTATTTCTGACTGATGGGAACAAAGTGAATTGGATTGGGTGAGGAAGAAACAATGAGGCCTTTAGAAGGATGAAAAGTAAGTGAAATTAATAAATCTTCATGATAAATTAACCAGACAATCTATGTACTCTCTATTTTTGGAAAGAAGTCACCTTGTCTCATCTTAACCCCAAATTGGGGCTTCTCCAAGGAATTCAAACTCTCTTTTTATTCATTTACCCATTCCAGAGTTTATTGAATATTGTCTCAGATATTATTTATTATCTTAGAACTGAGTTGCAAAGATCTGAGTACAAAGGGCATGGAAGATTCTCAAGTGACAATATCTGGAAGACATTTTAAAAGCCAAGTAACTGTGTAGCAAGACATTATGCATTGTAGTGCAGAAGATTCTGGAAACGGATCTAAGGCTAGTAACTGTACAGGGTACCCTTAGGATGTCCTTCCAACTCTTTCCACCTAGAAGGAGTGTGGCTAAGTACACCCTATGGGTTCCCCTTTTAGACATCATTCCCCTCACATCTTCTGGTTAGTGCTATCCTTGTGTGCTCCCAAAGTCATCAGGCATACATAGAAATGAATGTTGGACAACTGATCATAGCCTGCATACCCAAATGCTCTCAACACAATTGCTTAAATACTACATTGAAACCTGAATTAGCCAACTTTCAAGTGGATGTTATATATGTCCCTTCCATTCTGAATATTAGTGAAATGATATTGGCCACAGAAGAATCTTTTGACTTTCAGATTACTGTAAGAGATTTCCGAACTTGTAAATTTGAAAATAAACATTAGCTTGTCTCCCCCAAGTGGCTTAGAAAACATCAGGGCAGGTGTAGATAAATGTTTGCAAGAAGGACCTGCAAATCCTTAGAGGTCGTTGATAGTTATGTGCTGAATATATATAGAATAGAACAAATCAATACAATCTATACTTGTTCTATTGAAAAACATCAGCAAAGTGATAACCACTAGATAAACTGATCATGACAGCAAGAGAGAATTAAAAATTTTAAGAATGGAAGGAGTGTCATTAATATGGGTATACTGATATTAACAGGGTAATAAGGGAACTGATACAATCTATGCCAGAAAATTGTTCAGCACAGATGAAATAGACTTCTTGATAGACACAAATTATGAAACTAAACATAAGAGAAGAGACAATTATACCAAAATAAATTAGACACAAACAGTGTTTTCAACATATAGTTCTGGAACAACTAGACACCCTAATGGGAAAGGTGAACTCTGACCCTTAACATAGTTCATATAATACTCAAAAACAGGTCTAGACCCAGGTATAAAAGAGAAACTGAAAAACTTCTAAATGATAGCACAGAAAAAAAAAAAAACAAGACAAGCAAAACAACAAGAAAAACACTTGCAACCTTGCCTTAGGCAAAGATTGCCTGTGGATGACAATGCACAAGACCACAAAATGGAAAAATTGGTAGCATCTTAGCCATCTCCTTCCTAAATATTGCCCAAAAGAAATGAAGTCATATCCTCACTAAAACTTCACGTAACAAATTATGTTCTCATCATTGAGCACACTGAGATTTTCTTCTTATCTTGGCTATTGTGAAAATGCTGCAAGGAGCGTGAGAGTCTCTCATCTTATTTGCTGTGGGTACATACTCAATGGAGGATTAGCTAGGTCATGTGGTAGTTCTATTTTAGATTTTCAAGGACTTCCTAAACCTGTTTACATTCCTACCAACAGTGTGCAAGAATTCCTTCTTCTTCCCATCTTCATCAGACTTGGTATCTTTTGACAGTTTGATAATACTCATTCTAATAGATAGGGAGAGGTTCCTCACTGTGGATTTGATTTCCATTTCCTTGGTGAGTAGTGGTGGCAAGCACCTTTTTGTAGACCTGTTGACCATCCATATGTTGTGATGTGCAGTGACCTTGTCCATTGAAGAGTGCACTGAAGTTCTTGGCTGATCATTACTGGTTCCTCTGATGTATTTTCCCAAATGAATGATAATCCTGGCCCTTTTGTTTCTCCATTTTCTCTTACTTATATGCATTCCAGATTCTTCTGTTCCCATAGGTTTCTGATTCTTCTGGTTCCATCTATGTTGTGACCTCTGTAAATACCCCCTCTCCCAGTTTGCTGATTGTGCCCTGTACAAGATCCAGTGATATTACTACTTTATCTTTATTTTAGTAACTTCTGTCCCGTCTCAGATTAGTCTGTGAAAGAGAAGTAAAATCAGAGCCAGGAGAGCTAGTTAATCATTTTTGTGGCTAATGCTTCAAGGAAGGAGAGGGCCAGCCTGCAACAAGGCCCCAGTTTCCCTGCAAAATTTCCTGAGCTGTGTACAGCACAGGAACTGAAAATCCATTGTCTATCTGACACCCATTTTGTATTACCTCTATGCTGACCTGACTCCTGACACGTGAGTACCGTAGCTTGACACCTAACAGAAGTGACAGTTTCAATTCTGGAATTGCAAGCATGTAGAGGTCATCCTAAGCATCAGCGTTCAATCTCACTTTGGAGTTTATAGGGAGCCTGAGGTCCTCATGGTGGGAGGGGTTGGGTTATGCATAGGAAAAACACTGGTTCTGAGCAAAACGCCATAGCATGCAGCACTCCTGTTGGGCAAACTACGGACAGGTGGAGTTCTGGATGTGGTACTCCCTCCCACTAAGGGACCACAGGTCTCATGAGAGTTGAGACTAATGACTGCCTCTTACTCCATCTTCTGAGATACTGACTATTCACTGGCACCACTAACTCTGCTTTTCACAGACTCTTCTTCTGTCAAATTAGTGGTGTGAAATGTATAAACAAGACCCATTATAAGACTAAAAACATGATGTCTCACCTAATTCTTTGGGTACTGGAAGACATGGATGGAATAAGCATGAACTTAAGTTAATATCAGATTTTCTATGCAGTTTCCGTTGAAGAATTTGTGACTTGAAAATGAGCATAACAGAATTAATGGTGACATCTTGTGTCTCCTTTCCAACAAATTTTCATCCGCTCTCTTCTCCCAAATCTTCTACAACACCCAAAAAAAAAAACAATATTAGTCTAAGTGCTCTTGTGTCGCAGGCAGTGTTCAAGGGACTGTGTGCAGAGTGGTCCCTCTAATCAGGAGTGTATGTGTGTCTTTTGCAGTTGTGAAGATGATCTCTCAGAAGATAGAAGTGAACTTCTGCGTGGCATCTCAGATCTGGACATCACCAACTCGGACTGTTTCCCATCCCAGCTACTAGTGCATGGGGCTTTGGCTTTTCCCTTAGGGCTAGATACCTACCATGGGTGTGTGATAGCAGCTGCCCGCTATGGCCGGGGCCGAGTGGTTGTAACTGGTCATAAGGTGTTATTCACTGTGGGTAAACTTGGCCCATTTCTGCTCAATGCTGTCCGTTGGCTGGATGGGGGCCGCAAAGGCAAGATTGTGGTTCAGACAGAGCTAAGAACACTAAGTGGTCTGCTTGCAGTAGGGGGTATAGACACCAGCATTGAGCCCCAGCTGACCAGTGATGCAAGTGTCTATTGCTTTGAACCCACGAGTGACGTGGGGGTTAAGGAGCTGCAGGAGTTTGTAGCAGAGGGTGGCGGGCTGTTCGTTGGAGCCCAAGCCTGGTGGTGGGCCTTTAAGAACCCAGGAGTGTCCCCTCTGGCTCGCTTCCCAGGAAACCTGCTCCTCAACCCTTTTGGCATCAGTATCACAAGCCAAAGCCTCAACCCAGGCCCATTCCGCACCCCTAAGTCAGGAGTAAGGACCTATCACTTCCGCTCGACCCTGGCAGAGTTTGAGGTGATAATGGGCAGGAAGAGAGGGAATGTGGAGAAGGGCTGGCTAGCCAAGCTGGGACCAGATGGGGCAGCTTTCCTGCAGATTCCTGCAGAGGAGATCCCTGTTTACATGTCCGTGCACCGACTCCTTCGGAAGCTGCTGAGCCGCTATCGGCTCCCAGTGGCAACCCGAGAAAACCCTGTTATCAATGACTGTTGTAGGGGGGCCATGCTTTCCCTGGCCACAGGTCTGGCCCACTCTGGAAGTGACCTCTCACTACTAGTTCCAGAAATTGAAGACATGTACAGCAGCCCCTATCTGCGCCCCCCAGAGTCTCCCATCACCGTGGATGTCAACTGCACCAATCGAGGTATGGCAGGAGGATGAAAGCTTAGTTTTATGTGCATCAACAAAACGGGGACATGAGATTGCTGTGGTGTTGGTAAGTTTGGTCACCTGCAGAGGGTCATTGCTATCCTTCACTGTCTTTCTCTTCAAGAAGACAGGGGTTGGGTATTGAGCAGTGTTTGGAAGAGTCAGCACTGAGGCCGGGGAAATGAGTGGTTGGCTCCATGGGGTCTGTGCAGCACTGAATGAAGCAGAGATAAAGTGCCCTTCCTGTGCTTTGGCAGGCACACGATACTGCTGGATGAGCACTGGACTCTATATACCCGGAAGGCAAGTCATAGAGGTCTCCTTGCCTGAAGATGCTGCCTCTGCTGATCTGAAGGTAAGGCCACTCCCCAGCTCACCAAATGCTCTTGCTGTCCCAGTTGGCATTGTATGGGGTCAGCATAATGCCCTACTGGTAATTCAGGGCAGTTTTTAAACACTTTTCCCTTCTTAATGATGAGGAAACTGTGTTTTGATATATAACAAAATATATCAAAGTGACACATTTTGGAGCCCAGGACTCTGTATCATCCTGCCTCAGAATACCAATCTCTGCTCTTAAAATTTGTTCTTTTGACTTATATCATAGAGTGAGGACTAAGAGACCTCAATGGAAGGTTCCCTGACATTCTATAGGCATTCAGTCGGTGAATATTAGTTTACTTTCTACCTCATAACTTAGTGCATATGAACTCAAGAAATGCTCTGATTTCATGACTATCATACACGATATCATCAATGGTACATGGGGTCATAGCCTAATGCTCCTTCCTGAGTTTGCCTCCTATTCTCTCTTCTACCACCACCACCCCCATCACTCATGTGACTGTGAGGGTGATGTCTCTGCTCTAGATACAAATCGGCTGTCATACTGATGACCTGACCAGGGCCAGCAAGTTGTTCCGAGGCCCCCTTGTGATTAACAGATGCTGCTTAGACAAGCCCATGAAATCGATCACCTGCCTCTGGGGTGGTCTCCTTTATATCATCGTGCCTCAGCATAGCAAGTTGGGGTCTGTGCCCATCACAGTGAAGGGGGCTGTCCGTGCTCCATACTTCAAGCTAGGTAAGTCAGCACTACAAGGTGCACAGTGAGAGGTGGCAGATGCGAAGAATGAAGAAGTTTCTGGGGCTATTTATTACAGGGGACAGGGGTAGGCCAGTGGAGGGAGGTGGTTGGTTTCTTAGTTCTGCTTTGACGCCAAGAAACAAAATCAAATTATACCCATAGGGGCTTCCGAGAAGGGTGGAGAAAAGGGATGTCACTGGTTTTCATCTTGGGATTCTCATCTGGGGCCCAAGTTGTAAGTATGTTTTTACTTAAGGGATTTGAAAGAGGACAGTTCAAAGTCTATTGCCTCTCTTCATAGGGGAAACATCCCAGGCAGAATGGAAGAGGCGTCTCCAGGAACATCCTGGTCCGTGGGGAGAGCTGGCCACCAACAACCTCATCCTGACTGTGCCAACTGCAAATCTTCGAGCTCTGGAGAATCCCGAGTCCCTGCTTCGCCTCTGGGACGAGGTGATGAAGGCTGTGGCGAGGCTGGGTGGCGAGCCCTTCCCTTTGCGTCTGCCACAGAGGATTGTGGCAGATGTGCAGATCTCAGTCGGTAGGTATTCTGAGTGATGCTCACCTCCTCAAGTACTTTCCTTCTTTCCACAGCCTTGAAGGTACAGAGAGTAAAAATGTTTTTGCTAGCAAGACTTATAGATATATTTCTTGTGGTTTAAATGGAAAGGGGAGAAATTATATCAAGATAAATAGTAGCTTAAGTTAGCATGTCAAGAAATGTCATCAAAGAAGTCAAGAGATGTCCCCTGAGCTTTGCTAGGTTCCCCTCAGGGAATCTTAAGAAGTGGGAAAATACAGTAGAAGGCCTTGACCTAGTTGAGATTACTGGAAGACTCTGAACAAAGAGCTATTTGAAAATGAACCAAGGAGCCTGAACAAAGGGGGTGGGTACAAACAAGGAAGCCCCATGGAAATTTCTCTAGATCCTCATTTTTACATTGCATAAATAAATCCTGTAATATGGTGTCAATGTAGGTAATCCCATATTGAGGAGTGGGGCAGAGGCATCTTCAAAGAATCTGAGAAAGGGTTATAAATTACACAGTCTCCCGTGGGTACCACCACCACCCTGCCCCATAAAATAGGACACTCCAATAACAGCATATATGGGCCTTAGCAACCTATACTCCCCCAGGGCTCAAGTCAGAAGAAAGATGAAAATGTCACTGCAAAATGAGCAGAGGGAAAACCTGGGAGTGTCTGGGCTTGGATGACCTCTTGAAGCGGTAGGGTGTTAGAAGGAGCCTGGGGCTACTGTGTGTTTTGGAAAAGAAACAGTTCCGAGATAGAATTCATGATGAGGTGGGAGGATTCTCACCTTATCCTCTTTCTTCTGCATCTCCAGGCTGGATGCATGCAGGGTATCCCATCATGTGCCATCTGGAGTCAGTGCAGGAGCTCATCAATGAGAAGCTCATCAGGACCAAGGGACTGTGGGGCCCTGTGCATGAGCTGGGCCGCAACCAGCAGAGGCAGGAGTGGGAGTTCCCGCCACACACTACTGAAGCCACCTGCAACCTGTGGTGTGTTTATGTGCATGAAACAGTGCTGGGCATACCTCGAAGCCGTGCCAACATTGCCCTGTGGCCCCCTGTTCGGGAAAAGAGAGTCCGAATCTACCTAAGCAAGGGGCCCAATATAAAGAACTGGACTGCCTGGACTGCGTTGGAAACATACTTACAGGTACTGAGAAAGACTGGGAGGTGGTAAGACAAGTGGGGCCACCAAGCCCACATGGTTAACTCATAAGCTAGTGACTCTGGAGATTACCAACTCCATCTGCTTCCCACATTCGGCCATATGAAACCCTGAGAGAGTCTGGGGATAACAGATAATGTAATGATGCCTCTCAGTGCAATCCTTTGTTTGACCCTACAAAGTGCTTAGCCCTGCACTGACTTCACAGTGTCAACCACACCCCCAGAGAGAGGCACTGAGAGCATAGCACTGAGAAATCTAAAATCTGGTTGAGGCACATGGAGTACTACAAATACACTTTACTCAATGCGGCTTTAAAGCCAGGCATACTGATGATTGAAGCCAACCTTTCCTACTTCAAAGCTATCAGGCCACCCTCCTCACACATTCTATGATGGGTTGTGACCCAATTTTTCCTTAGATGAGCATACTTCTTCCTTGCTATGGTTTAGCCTTGCCACAGATTCCACTGTATGTAGGCAGTCCAGGACTCCTTTCTGCCTTGGGTCTGGAGGTTCACCTTGCCTTTGAACTGTCTTTCTATGCCCCAGTTTTCAGCCCCAGTACCTAGATCAGTCCCTAGATCACTGCGGGGGTGGGGTGGGGGGAGTGACATCATGTTGGATTCAAGCCCGACATGATTTATTCTGGTTCTTCCACCTGTTCATATCCTTCACTGTCCATGCTCACTGCTACTTTCTCCTCACATGAGCTACTTGGCTCATCCATGAAGTAAAGACAGGTTAGTTGTAACAACTACCAAGGGGCCCCTTAGCTCCAAAGCCCTGTGACCGTAGATAGCATGGTTTCATTCCAATAGTCTCATGAGGGTTACTTTTAAACACGCCCTATGACTCTGTCAAGCATGGGCTCTTTCCAATAGCCCCAGAGGATGACGACTTCTAACACTTCTAACGAGCTCATTCTTTGTTACAATTATCTAGACTGTATAGACTTCTACCTGATTCACTTTCTACCTCAAAGGCCATTTTTAGTGGCCTTGTGAATTAGTATTAGGACGAATGAGGGTTGTGGGGATTTCCAAGCTATTAGAATTTAACCTTACAACTGCGAGAGATAATGAGGATTGTTCCACCCCACCCAGTGTTAAATCCCCGTGTTCTTATCACATTATTCTTTTCATGATCTCACGAGTAGATGAGCAGTGACAGTGGAGGGAAGCACTGATCATTGGAGCTGCTTCCGCAGCTGCCACTCACTGAGGGTCTGCCAAGTGCTGTGCTGTCCTCGACACTTTCCTTAAGATCAGTAAATGACAGAGGAGCGCATGAGGCCAGCACACAAAATGGTCAGTGATGGATGCAAAGCTAACTAACACTTAGGAGACTGAACTGACTAACTTCACTTGTGTGTGTTGGGGGGCCTTCATTTGGTAGATTGGATGTCTCACCTACTTGGAACTTTCCCTTTCCAGCTCCAAGAGGCCTTTGGTTGGGAGCCATTTATTCGCCTCTTCACTGAGTACAGAAGCCAGACCAACACGCCTACAGATAATGCCGACAAAATGAATCTGTGGGTGAAGTTGTTCTCCCAGCAAGTGCAGAAGAATCTGGCTCCGTTCTTTGAGTCCTGGGCCTGGCCCATCCACAAGGAAGTGGCTACCAGCCTAGCCTATCTGCCTGAGTGGAAGGAAAATATAATGAAACTGTACCTCCTCACACAGATGTAAGGAGTGCCCATCGAGGTGGCAGGTAGAGAGGTTTGGGGAGGTAGGCAGAGGTGGGGGTTTATTCCTCTACCTCTGTCTTCAAAAGTTCTGGCTTTGTCTTCTTAAATCATTGCTCCTGTGTCTTATTCCTGACTCCTGTCTCTAGGAAGTGGGTTAAGAACACGGCACAAAGTGAAGCCAGAATCTCTTAGGAATAAGGCCTGTCTGTGTTTATGAGCTCTACCCCTTTGCTTCTCAGTTGTCAGGTACCCTCTGACCCTGCCCAGTGCTGGGAGCTTGGGCATTTGTTTCTGTGCTGGCCCTTGGTCTGTCTTGATGAACCATGGAGGACAATCCTTCCCTTGGCCTCCATGTCTTCGGGATAGGTGCAGAAGTCTCTGCCTCTTGGAGTGGTCATGGAGTGTCTGACTGATGGTTTTAAAGAAACGTGTGAACTATGTGGTGCCTGATAACTAAAGGGTTGCTTCATTTCATGCTGACCCATTCTCTTTCACAGCTCAGAGGTTAACATCACCCTTTTTCTTAGTAGACTCCCTGTACTCAAACTGTAGGTCTTTTATTGACCATTTCTATGTTATTGGCAAGATCCTTGACTTGTCCATGACTCTATGATCTCATTCTATAAAATCGGATCTATTGCATCTGATTATTGGAAGAACTGAGTTTTACAATGCCTCTAAAGTGATTACAGCAGTAAGAGGGTATTGAGGAAATGTCATTTGGCATTTTTATTACCTAATTAACCCAAAATTATTCTAGAGCCAGACTTCACTTTTAGGTGGTATTAACAGATGCTATCACAGCCTTTTAATTTTTTAAACTGATACATGAAAATATAAAACCTGCATATATCAACAAGATATCATGTGATGTCTAATGCATGGATACACTTTTATACCTGAATTGAGTACAACACATCTGTCTACTCGAGCATCTGTCATTTCTTCAAAATCATTTATAGGTTTGTTTTTTTTTTAGATAGACAGTGTGTAACTGTTACTGAAGGCCAGAGAGAGGACTCAGTGGGTAAAGACACCTGATGCCAGGACTCAAAACCTGAGTTCAATCCTCAGAAGTCACATGGTGGAAGGAGAGACCCAGCTCTTGTATGTTGTCCTCTGGCCTCCACATGTGTTCTGTGACACACACACAAACACACTAAACAAACTTAAAAGAAATAATTGTTATCTGTCCTACCCTATCCTACACTACACATACCAACCTCTAAGATTATTTTGGTATATTACTTTATGAATCTAAAGGAAGTATTCTAAACTCACAATGGAGTTATTTTTGATGGTTGTTTGAGACCAGGCCTCTCTATTTAGGCAGGGCTGGCTGACTTCAAACTCAATGATTTTTTCATCCTCAGCCTCCAAGTGTTGGTGTTACAGATGTGTACAGCCACACCTAGTTACACAATGCAGTCCTTTTTCTTTTGTCTTTCACAGCTACTTATATTTGATCCCTTTACCCAGTTCCTTGAGCTCAAATTTCTTCTTTGATAAAATCTAGAGATCTTGACAAAAACCAGAACAATCATGAGATAGTGTTTAGCCTTAGCAAACAATAGATACCAATCTTTTATTATTTTTCCACAGTGAGATTCAAGACATAGTTGCTGTCAAGGGTTACTGATTACACGCATTTAGAAAACTTCACTTTGGGACAAGATAATTCCACAGAGCTAACCCAACTTTAATTTAATTACTACACATTCAAAGATCTCTTGGTTTTCCCCATTTTCATTTAAAGTATCTTTTTGTGGTTTTAATGAGTGTTACCTCTAGGATTGATGTTGTGTTATGCGTAACCAGTTTTCCCACTTATTTTCAATTTATTTTAGTCTAATCTATTTTATTTGCATAGCTTGTCAGTGAGTGAATGCACAGACTATAAAATTTGTGCGTGCGTGTGTGTGTGTGTGTGTGTGTGTGTGTGTGTGTGTGTGTGTGTGTTTATTTACCATGCAACTTCTCAATTCTAGATTTATTTCATGTATATTTATCATTTAGGCATTTTGAACAGAAACATTCAATCTTTAAAATAATTATCAATTACGAGGTATTGAGTGTTTCCAGGCATTATACTCATCCCCTTATATAGGTATATCATTTAATCTCCCCAATAATCTTATGAAGTAGAAATTATTATCACTTATTTTATGAATAAGAGAGCTGGATTTTATGGAGATTGTGTAAACTATGTAAGATACCACTGCTAATAAATTGCAGGTCCATGATTTTGAAGCCAAGCATTCTGATTGCAGAATAGGTATTCATAATTGTGGTGCTTTGAATAAACAAATTAAGAAACAAGCCAGCAATGCAGAACATTTATATTCCAGATTGTCAGAGCCTGGACTCTTCATACTTAGCCCTTATCTAACCTTAGCAGGACAAAAAGTCTCTGATTCTCCCGAACATCAGTGGAGAGGAAGAATTTAAAACAGGCTCCTAAAGCACCTCCCGGTAGAAGTGTGAGTGAGCCATTAGCATCAGGCAACTCCTTAGGTTCTGGTTATTCAGAGTGCTTGTCATTCTCCCCTGGGTACATGAAAGCAGTTTTTGGTTTATTGGATTTTGAGTCACGGGCTATTTTAGTGAAGTACCTGATTTCCCAAAGCCCCAGATGCTTCATGTTCTCAGAGAAAATTAGATTCTCAATCTTTTAGAATAAGCTTTTTTCCATTCTCATTCCCTTCCCCTTAATCTGTTTCCATTCCCACCCCACCCCTTTAATCTGCTTTCAGCAGTAGAGCCTGGGATCTTTTAAATCAAGTTATCTATGCTGTTCCCCTGTCTGAAACTTCCAGTGGTACTCCCGAAGTAAGATGATGGACTAAACATGTAAGTTCGTCTTCCCTCCTTTCCTAGGCCCCACTGAAACTGAAGTGAAGGAATGCAAGAGAGAATTGAGACCATGCAGCAAAGGAATCTAAAAGCATTTGGTTGGAGAAGATCTCAACACATTTCTGGAAGAGATAAAGTAAATGAAGCTTGTTAATGAATGGGAAACACGAAGGCACATTTCAGACAGAATACACAGATCTGACCACCGTAACCCCAAAGAGACTTGAGCACTAGGAAAGTCTAGCTACTAAATAATTGTACCAGTTATAAATTGACCCCCATTCTATTCTGCCCCAACCCTTGTACATAGAACACAGAAAATCTCCCATTGGTCCTAGTGAAGCTGTCTTTGTTATTGTTGTTTGAATAAAGGAATCAAATAAACCACCTGAGGAGAGGGAAGAATTAGTGCTCCAGATGATATTCTTTTTGTGGATGTAAATGGCCCCCTAGCCTGTCTGTTAATTTTCTTCTGAGAATTGAGTCCCCTACTCACATACCCAGGACTTCTAGTCATAGCAGAGATTTGCTAGAGAAACAGGAGTCCTTTAAAAAGACAATAGTTAGCACGGTTCTCAATGTGTGTTTTCTGATAGGAATTTCCAAGAGAGACTCATAAGAAAAATAACCACTTAGATGAAAAAAGATTGAAAAAGTATTATAAACTAGAGGAAACAAAGTTCATACAGGGAAAAAAAACCCTTAAAATTTTGACCATCTCTCCAGAGAGATTTGAGGTGCATTTGTAAGATAATATACTAAGAGAAAATTCTGAACATTTGTAAAGCAAAATAAGATTGCCAAAAATATTTCACCGATAGGCTGGAAAATGAAGTAGAATGAATCTCCTGATATATGCAACAAAATGAAATAACAAACAATAGGAAGGAAGGAAAGAGAAATAGACAATCACTGTTTAACCATTGTGAGTTCCCAGAAGACAGGATATAAATAGCACAAATGAAGAGTGAAGAAGAAAGACTTGAGGAATACCAGACTGAGGGGACCCAATACCAGCTACATCTAGGTACAGTGCTAAGAAAACTTGGAATGGTAGGATTAAAGAGAACTTACTCAGAGTTCCCGGGGAAGGGAAGACAACCGAGTCAAACCTGGATGAGAAGAGCCTGGCAATGTCAGCTGAATGCTACAAGTCAAGGGAGCAATGGGCTTACTTGTGTTTCCTTTTGAAAACTTTTGTTTCCAAAACTCCATATAGGGCAGACTGATGAGAGCAATGTAAAAATAAAGATGTCTTTTGACAGGTGAGTTTATAGAAAACCTACTTTTCTCCTTTGTACCCTTATTAAGGAAGTTTTCCATTTAAAAAAGAAGGATGAAAGTCCAAAAAAAAAAAAAAGAGGAGGAAAGAGGACCTGGCCACCAGTGGACCTCACCCAGGATGTCTCCGTCTAGAGTGGTAGTTATCTAATAGACTCACTTTAGAAAAGAACACAACCTTGGGCTCTGAGAAGAATGTGCCAGAGTAATACTGAGTAAATGAGACATTTGGAAATGTGGAGGACATGCAGTCTTTTATCACAAAAAATAAAAATAAACAAACAATCCATCAAGAAATTTAGGCTCAACTGTGAAGGAAAACAAAATGAGATAGGATTTCAAAGACTCGTGGACTGTGAGAAGAGACTTGATTGGTCATTGGCAGTAAGTAGGTAAGTTTCCTTTCCAATAGTACAGGCATCATGACATTGGGAATGCAGGAACATGTATATCTTCCACTTGACTCAGTAAAAAGTATTTTAATAGCCAAAATAATGTAGATGCCACTTAGAGATCTTCAGTATGGATCCACCTATGAACAAATCCTGAAAGGCTAAATGTTTTACCCAGAAGAGAAGTTGAATTGCTATCAGCCAGCTGAGGCACAGGAAAGTGGAGACTGAATTAGTTGGGAGAAGAGAAGTAGAAGGAAGAGTGGGGCTACTTGAATATTCAAAGTGGGCTTGAACAGACCCTGTCTTCAATTAATGGAACACAGCTATATGGTTAGTGTCCTGGCTGATGCTATATGTTAGACCCTCAAAAGAATTAAAAATGGTATACCTATCAAACATTTAGAGAAGGGCAGGCAGGGAAAGGTGGAGATGGTGTACGTTAAATTCTTATCTTTTGTAAGGGTGAATTATTAAAGATTGTCTACAGTTAATAAGTCAAGAGATTATTGTTCAAACATGTTATTTAAAGGTAGTAAGTTAGCCACCAGAAGATCCAAAAATAGATATTGTTAAAAGCATCTAGAAAATGGGATTAGAGAAGAGGGTGGGACGGGAAACTCTGTTTTCATTTCAAGTTCCTCTGTACTATTTAATTTTTTACCTTGTGCATGTGTTACTTGGACAAGTTTGTAATAAACTGAAATAAAACATCCTTCAGAGGCTTCAGATTGACGAGGATGTGGTTGAACCAAAGCTACTGACTAGCTGATGAGGGCAGCAGGCATTGGGGTTCATCTGCTGTGCCAGTTTAAGTGATCACAAGTCCTCCATGATTGCAATTTTAGCCACTCTAGTCTGGCAAGATTCAAGGACACTTAACCTTCCCTTATTTCTATGGCTATTCTGCAAAACACAAAACCTGCTGCTCTTCTTGCATGTCTTGTGACTAAGGTTCCTATTTAGCAGGCTTGCAGGATTTTTGGAACAAAATAGTGTTCAAAGGGGCATTGGTATTAGATGTTTAATTACTATTCTTTCCCAAGGCCCTAGTGCATGAAACACTTCATGAAGAACCAAAAAGGACTTTAAGATGTTCTGTTCTATTCATTTACTAACTTTAACAAGTTTTGCTCTTGCATGGGGCCAGTTGGTAGAAGATTCCTACCCATTTCTCAGGTTTTGGCCACTGTCTACACATTATGATCTACTTTTCAGCTATATTCCCCTTGCACTTGGAAGAATCTATCTTCATCCTACCACATTTTTTAAGCTTCTATGTGACTTGAGAAGTAGTTTGGATACTTTAGGAGAGGGTGGGAAAAAATAAGGCTCTCCGGTGGATATGATGCTGCTGAGGAGCACTGGCAGTTCTTCAGCCAGAATCCCAATTAAGTCCATCTGCACGGAGTCGAACTAAAGTGGATATAAAGCTGTTTCTGCTTTTGAAAAAGTTGCAGCTGCTCATGCTCGAAAAGACAGAAAGTTGTCAGCATTTTGTGTCTTGCTCAGACAACGTGGCCTTGTTTCATCTCCTGGTGGTCTCAGAATGATCTAGTCTGATAGTGTGTTAGGAACCTGTTTATCTACAACAGGAGAGTATGGCCTGGCTGAGTGTGCAACGAAGGTTCCTGAGTGCCCAAGGCTTTCACAGAGCAGGAGCCTTTGCTCCTCAGACAGTGGTTCCAATCTGCATTCCTCTTAACTAGGCACAAAGGACAATTTTTTAGAACAATGAGTACAAAATACACAAGAGGTACCGTGGGTAAGGACTATTTGATAAACGTGTTTGGTAAACCAGAATGAAACTGGAATGGTATCAGCTCCTCCGAGTCACTTGTTGGATGGTTGAAGGCATCTTCACTTCCCAGTACAGATTCTCTGAACCTTTCCTGGGAAAAACAGGAAGTGCATTGGGGTACTTGTCTGTTCTTCCTTGGGAGAGGTAGCTATGTCCTTAGGGTCCATGAACCCTCCAGCCAGAGATCCATTCAAATATTCATAAAATCCACTTGCGAAGTGCTATAATTGAACCACATGGAAAGAACTGAAAGTCAAAATGAATTTAAACATTCATTTACATTAGATTGTGTGTGTGTGTGTATGTATGTATGTATGTGTAATCTAACAAAGGGTAGTACAAAACATTTTCTTCAGTATCCAAATTACCTCACTGAATATGTAACCTGTGTGTGACAGGAAACTAAGCTGGTAAAAATTTTGGCTTCATTTGACTTTCAACTTCTCTGAAAAACTAAATGGAACCACAAGGATAATTACCTCCCCAAGTTAAATCAAACCTCTTCATATGGAAGGTCTAGAGGGATGTCTCAGCAGTGAAGAGCACTTGCTACTCTTCCAGAGGACCGAAGTTCAATTCCCAGAACTCACTTGACAGCACACAACTGTCTGTAACTTTAGTTCCAAGGGATATGATGCCCTCTTCCGGCCTCTGCAGAACCACCCACACATGGTACACAAACATACCTGCAGGCAAAACACCCATACACATTTAAAAATAATTTTTAAAGAAACGTTCATTGAATCATCATAAATTTGGGGCTTTTGTACAATAGCTGCTCAACACTGAAGTGCCCTATTTTAGTCTAGCAAGCAAATTCACTCATACATATTTATGTACATTTACCAAAATTGTTCTAGGGCCTAGAAATATAAGTAAATAAAACAAACCTCTTGCTACTCTAGTTTTCTTTCTGTTACTGTCATAAAACACCTTGATCAAAAGCAGCTTGGGTAGAGAAGGGTTTATTTGGCTTATCCTTCCGTTCTTATATACTTACAGTCCATCACTGAGAAAAGTCAGTACAAAAGCTCAAGCAGGAACTTGAAGCAGAGACCATGGAGGAACTCTGATTGCTGGCTCTCTCACTGACTCATGCTTAGCTATCCTTCTTATAAAGACCAGGATCATCTACCTACCTAGGGAAAGGTACCACCCTCATCGGACTGAGCCCTTTGCATCAAATTATAATAAAGGCCACGCTGATGTGAGCAATCCCTCAGCTGAAATTCCCTTCTCAGGTGACTCTAAGCTGTGTACAGTTTAGGCAAAGTTGACTGGGACACTGGTCCTCATGGTGCTATGTTCTAATATGAACATAAAAGTTCTAAAAGAAGACGTGATATGATGTATAGAAGGAAAATATTGTAGCTAAGGATAAGAAAGTGGATCTCTGGGTGGGGGCCCATAAAGTGGGCTTGCTTGCTGTTTTATGGAATGTGGTCTAGGGAAGCTTGTGAAGGTGATATTTAAGCTGATTCTCAGAATGATGCAACGAACCATGCAATTAACTCAAAACAAAGGGAAGTAAAATTATATGAAGCACATTGAAGAAGACACTTTGGAATGTCATCACTAGGTAGCTACTTTCCAAGATGTAAATCTTTTTTTCTGATATTTATTTTTATCTATGTGCATTCGTATGTATCTGTGAATGTGTGTGTGTCTGTCACATGTATGCAGGTGCCATGGAGACCAGAAAAGGGCATCAGATCACCTGGAATTACAATTAGCATGTGAGTCACTCAACATGAGTGCTGAGAACTGATTTCTGGCTCCTCCTTGAGAACAGTAAGCATTCTTAATGCCCAAGCCATTCTTCCAGTCCCCACCAGATGAAAGTCTTGACCACAGAAGTCTAGTGTAACCATTAGTAGGACTCACCAACTGTTATAGTTAGAAGTATAACCTCCATTCCCCGAAAAAAACAAAAAAAACAAAAAAAAAACACTCCTGTGTTAAAGGCTTGGACTCGAATTAATTAGGTCCCTTTAAGAGGAGAGACCTAACAGAAATTTGTTCATTAGGAATGTGGCCTTGAATGGGGTGTTGGAAGTTCGGCTCCTCCCTCTCTCTGTTTCTCAAACGCCATGAGGATCACAAGCATGCTACACTACACATTCCCTGACATGATGTTCTGCCTCTTCCCAAAGCAACAGGAAACAGAGCATAGGCAGGAATGTCTGAAACTTTAAGCCCCAACAGACCCTTTCTTAAGTTTTTCATTCCAGGTATCTTGTCGCAGCGATGCATGACTGACCAACACACTGACCTAGTAGAAACTCAGTTGGGACACTTGAAAATGAAATCGTATTTTTCAGTAAAATTTTTGGCCTCTCCATTCTGAAATTACTGTCTGATAGGGAGCAAAGTAGGTTCATTTTAGTGGTTGCCATGTCTTCTGTCAAAGGTAATGAATGGAAATACTCTATATCTTAACACACTAGTCTCTGGGTCCTTACCAATGACCTGATGCATTCAGGGAAACAAATTTGAATCAAGTTCATATGAAGAAAATTGATTAAAAATATGATTCAGTTTGCTCAACCATGAAAGTTTTAGTCTTACTTATTGGAACTTACCTGGACAAAAGATTAAAGTACTGGGTAACTTAGGTCCTGTGATTCTGGGCTTCTCAATCCATATCCACCCTCATCCTACTAACCAGACTGATGTCTATTTGGCTTCAGTTGAAATTAAAGATATCCATGATCAGAAATCTCAGTATAATGGGAGACCTTGAAAAGGATTTGTTTTAATATCATAAGAAATTTGGGGAGAGAAAACAATAATTGTTTGTGTTTTCAGAAAAAACAATAAAAGTGCTAGTTTTGCATGCACATGGATATTAACTTGCTCATTCTCTGCAAGAGGTTTTCTGTTTTTTTGCTTTTTTGTTTTTAAATAGAATCTTTGTTTTGTGGTACTGGGGTAGAACCAGAAGACTTGAACACGGTTAGGTAAGCAGTCTATCCCTAAACTACATTCTCCATCCTTCTTGTGGGGATATTGACCATCAGTGAGTCCCAGTTCCCACTCTCTAACCCCATTGGTATCTCAGTATCTTCAGCCTGAATAAAGTTGTGCATTAAAATGTATAGGACGATATGGGCATCATATTGGTCACGTTGATTAAAGATGATTTTTCTACTGTGCCTAGTGGATACGATATTTCAGAGTCTGAGATGAAGTTTCAATTCTGAACATTTATGCTCCAAACACAACGGTACCCACATATGTAAAAGAAACATTACTAAAGCTTAAATCACATATAAAACCCCATACATTAACAGTGGGAGACTTCAACACCCCACTCTCACCACTGAACAGATCTGCCAAACTGAAACTTAACAGAGAAATAAAGGACTTAACTTATGTTATGACTCAAATGGACTTAATCGATATCTACAGAACATTCCATCCTAACAAAAAAAGAATATACCTTCTTCTCAGCACCCCATGGAACCTTCTCTAAAATTGAGCACATACTTGGCCACAAAGCAATTCTCAACAGATACAAAAAATTGGAATAACCTGCTGTGTTCTATCAGACCACCATGGTTTAAAGTTAGATTTCTTTTTTTTTTTTTTTTTTTTTTTTTTTTTTTTTGGTTTTTCGAGACAGGGTTTCTCTGTGTAGCTTTGCGCCTTTCCTGGATCTCGCGCTGTAGACCAGGCTGGCCTCGAACTTACAGAGATCCGCCTGCCTCTGCCTCCCGAGTGCTGGGATTAAAGGCATGCACCACCACCGCCCGGCATAAAGTTAGATTTCAACAACAACAAAAACTACAGAAAGCCTATAATCTCATGGAAACTGAATAATGCTCAACTGAATCACCAATGGGTCAAGGAAGAAATAAAGAAAGAAATTAAAGACTTCCTAGAGATCAATGATAATTGTTAGTTTCAGATTAACTTAATTTTGCTG